GGTCGTGAACCAGAATGTCTATGTAGACCAGAGCACGTACGTCGACCAGTCGGCGTATGTGAACCAGAACACGGCTGTGGACCAGTCTACGTACGTGGACCAGAGTGCGTATGTGGATCAGAGCTCGTATGTCAACCAGAATACTACCGTGGATCAATCCGCATATGTAGACCAGAGCGCATATGTCAATCAAAACACGACGGTCGATCAAAGTGCGTACGTGGACCAGAGTGCATATATCGATCAGAGCACAACCGTGGATCAAAGCGCGTATATCGACCAAAGTGCAACTGTTGACCAAAGCGCATACATCGACCAATCCGCCTACGTGGACCAGAGCGCATATGTAGACCAGAGCGCATACGTGGATCAGTCGGCGTACATCGACCAGACGGCCTACGTCGACCAGTCGGCATATGTTGACCAGAGTGCCTACGTCGACCAGTCCGCCTATATCGATCAGAGCGCATACGTTGATCAATCCGCATACGTCGACCAAAGCGCCTATGTAGATCAATCAGCCTATGTAGATCAGAGTGCATATGTAGACCAGTCTGCATATATAGACCAGTCGGCGTATGTAGACCAAAGCGCCTACACCTACGACACGACAGATTACTCAGCAGACTACGGCCTCGCGTGATCTCGTCGACCTCCCTCTCACCCAACACTCATCTCTCTTCACCTGTATATTTCTCCTATTATATCCACAGCATGTTTCTAGAGCGGACATAACTAGACCTCACTTTTCTTTCTTGCTAGCGTTTCAAATTGCATTTGGTTTTCGTCAGGGTATGGCGGGCAGCCGGAACGGCAAGGGGATGGATGACACAGTAGCTAGGGAACGAAGAGAAGACCAATATAACATAAATAGATACCTCATCAGCGTTGAAACTGTTTTCATAATCATATTGTCAAATGCATGTGATAACCACCCGTCGAAACCTCTACATACATACATACAAGCGTACACACTCACGCCGCCGAACGCCAATGCCATGCCGTGTCATATTGTCGTGGTTGTTCATCCGTAGCCCCAGCAAGGTGTAAGTAATCTGCAGAGCCAGCACCAAGTGCAATTGAATTTTCCTTTCTTTTTTTTTTCTCTTTCTTTTTTAAACTTAATCTCAATTTCACCTCCTCCCGCGCCCGCCGCCGCCGCCACCGCCCATCATCCCGCCCATGCCCATACTCTCCATCATCTTCTGCATGTCCATGCCGCCGGGCATACCCCCGCCGCCCCCGCCAAACATGCGCGCGAGGCTGGCCATATCGGGCATGCCGCCGCCAGCACCGCCGGCGGCGCCGCCCATGCTCTGCAGGCGCTTCTGCATGGCGGCCATCTGCTGCGCCTTGTTGGCGCCGCCCATGGCCTGCTGGGCGCGCTGCATGTTCTTCATGGAGCCGCCCATGCGCTTGGCCATGCCGGCCATCATGCGCTGCTGGGAGAGCAGGTCCTCGACCTCGCGGACGGAGACGCCGCTGCCGCAGGCGATGCGCGTCATGCGCGTGGGCTGCTCCACGAACATCTTGCCGTCGCTGTCGAGCTCCTTCTCCGTCATGCTGTCGCAGATGTAGATCATGCGCTTGAGGCGCGCGCTCGACTCGTCGTCGTCCATGCCGGCCATGCCGGCGAGGTTGGACATGCCGGGGATCATGCCGGCCATCTTGGAGAGAGGGCCCATCTTCATGATGTTGCTGAGCTGGTCGCGCAGGTCGCGCACGGTGAAGATCCCTTCGGTGATGTGCTTGATGGTCTCCTTCTGGTCGAGCTTGAGCGACTGCACGTGCTCGACGAGCCCGGCCATGTCGCCCATGCCGAGGAGCTTGTTGACGAACTGCTGGGGCGCGAAGCGCTCGAGGTCGAGCATGTGCTCGCCGGTGCCGATGAACACGATCGGCGTGTGCGTGGCTGCGACGGCGGATATGGCGCCGCCGCCGCTCGCGTGGCCGTCCGTCTTCGTGATGATGATGGCGCCGAAATCCGCCGCCTCTTTGAACGCCTTCGCCTGCGCCTCCGCCTGCTGCCCTATCGACGCATCGAGGACCATGATCGTCTCGTCCGGCTTGACCGCCTCCTGGATATCCATCATCTCCTGGAACAGCGCAGACTCCTGCCTATGCCTACCCGACGTGTCGACAATGATGACCTCGAAGCGCTCCTTCTTGAACTTATCCACGCCTTCCCGGGCGACCTTGGCGGGGTCTGTCTCGGTGAGGGAGCCGTAGTAGGGGATCTTGGCCTTGGTGGCGTTCTGCTTCAGCTGGTCGAAGGCGCCGGCGCGGAAGGTGTCGGCGCAGACGAGGCAGGCGCGGAAGCCGCGCGCCTGGTAGTGGCGGGCGAGCTTGGTGCACGTCGTCGTCTTGCCGGCGCCCTGCAGGCCGACGAACATGATGACGTTGGCCTTGCCCTTCCTGGGCTTGAAGGGCTCGGCGTGGGGGTCGACGAGGCGGACGAGCTCGTCGAAGACGGCCTTCTGGACGAGGCGCTTCTTGTTCACGGCCGGCGGCAGGTCCTTGAAGTTGACGGCGTTGCTGATCGAGTTCTTGAGGCGGCTGACGAGCTTCACGTTGACGTCGGCTTCGAGGAGGGCGCCCGAGATCTCGTTGAGCATGGCTTTGAAGGCCTATATGGCATCGTGTGCTACGTTAGCGGACTGCGGGGCGTTCTACAAACGCATCTGCGCATCTGTGCATCTGCACTGCACTTCTGCATGGTTGGTGGTTTGGCGGCGTACCTTCTCGTCTAGATTGGGGGCCCTGGTAGCATCGTGTAAGGCGCCGCTAATGCGCCGCCCAAGATCTTGAAGAACCATGGTGAGGTCTGTTGGCGTTTAGGCAGTGGTAAGGATTAGGTGTTGAAAGCCGATATGGGGAATTTCGACGTCTATCGGCGGCGGCCTGTGTACCTACGGCGCTGTACAGTGCAGCAGTGCAGCACTCATAATACTCCATAGTACCTTAGTGGCCAATCCGATTGAACTGGGGCGGGATCTTTGGTTTCTCCGGCTCCACTACACTGCTGCCATTGCGGGTGGGTAAGGGGAGTAAAGTGGTAAGGTCCCAGTCAACCCAGTACATAAGGTATTCTCACGCAACCGATTTTTTAAGTTTTTAAAAAGTTTCTTTTATTTTGTTTTATTTGGTTCATTAATACACTCTGCGTGGACTCACACATCGCGCGAGTAGATAAAAAAACGAAAGCAGTAAAGTTGTCTCGTAATCAGCATTATACGCAAGATACACGCGTTTTCCACGATTAAGGTTTCCATAAAGCTTAGCTCGCCCGAAGTATATAAAAGGGCCTGAAACCTTCAATATACCTCTACCCGGAGGATTTTACCCTTGCAGAGCAGAGGTGCAGAGGCGTCGGCAAAGGGTTCTAGCATAGAAAAGGGGTAGTAGCATAGTTAACGTGGTAATATAACAAGTCTCGGCTACGCCATGCTCCATACTACACATATGTTCATGTCACATAGTATGGAAGAAGCTGACCGAGACTTAGGAAAAAGAGGGCGAGATTTCCTCGGTTACTCTTCTTCGGCTTGCATAGGCACCTTCCGGGACCCGGACTACTACGGCGGGCCGCGCCTCATGTCCGGGGGCGCCGGCACCGCCACATCATACATGTGCCAAAAAAGATATCAAGAGAAAATAGATGTAGAAATACCTACCAATATAATACTGTGCATCACCTGTAAACTCCATTGGGGTTCGTCTCTAATAAAATTATTAGCGTAATTAGGTACTGAAGTCAATATGGTTCAAAGTATAATTTTGTAATAGATTTATACCTAGGTAGCCAATTGGTCATTGTCAAGAGACTGTGCGATGAATCATCCCTTAGATGGTCAAGTGGTAATACACTTACATCCGAAGGTCGTTGCTTTTTTTCTTCTCCATCCTTGTTTTAACTTTCCACGTGTCCAAGTATAGAAATATATACCTAGGTAGCCCGATGGTCATTGTCATGCAACTGTGCGATGAATTGCCCCTTAAATGGTCAAGTGGTAATACACTTACATCCGAGGGCCATTGCTTTTTGGGTTTTTCTTTTCGGTGTCCCTCTCTTTACGCTTGCCACAGTGACGTCTCAAGTTCGATTTCCAGTCTCGTCTTTTATTTTTCCTTGCTCAAAATAAATCTCAAGTAATTACCTATGTTTGATACCTTGAGGCTGATCATTGTTGCTGGCGCCAGCCTTAGTTACTAAGCCCTCCCAGCAAACTACCTATTATTAGTCCGCTTTCGATTCCGTGTCGTCACTCCTAAGATATAACGGTTCTATACATCTCGGCGTTGCCGATTGTCCCTTGTGGTGCTCGTCCTGGAAGCGGGTCACTTGGCCTTTGATGCAACCCTTTTGGACACAATGCAGCCCGGGAATCCATCACGACTACGCAATCGATCACGGCTTTCTTCCTGACGCGCGAAATACTTCACCCGTTGCGAGGTCTCATCACGCCCTAGCCACTATAGCTCTGTCCCAAGACCCAACAACGGCAAAGCTTTGCTTGGAGCGACTCGTTGCTGTACGATTGCAGTTATGATTTTCTAGATAGAGCTACCAATCGTTTCATTTTTGGGCGCTTGCTATATCTAGACTTAGCATGCTACTCACTACTCTCTTGGAGGCTCGCTGTCTCAACAGCCCGGGTGTCACAGACTACAATAGCAACGCTTAAAGGGGAGTATCGCCCTCTATTACAACAGAAAGTCATGGTAGATTGACTCTACTTAGATTCTAGGCCTAGCCCACGTTGCCGGACGGTGGCAGGTCGTAGCGCCTCCTCGGCTAACTACCTAAATGGACCCCCTTTCTCCCCCGTCCCTCCTTCCCGTCCTTCGTCTTCCCCCTACTTCAGCAGTATTGGGAAGCGGCCACCACCACTGCCTCCCCCACGACTCATAATCCGTCCGGCTATACCTCGCTACTACCGACCCTGAAACCTGGGCAATAAGCATTAAGATTACAGGCCCCCCTGCCAGAAGTTAAACGGCCCTCGGTGGTCTAGGGGTTTATGATTCATCGCACAGTCTCTTGACTGTTACCGATAAGGTCGGGGGTTCGAATCCCTCCCAAATGGGGGTGCGTTGCTTCCTCCTGGGTCAACCCAGGGGACATCCTAATCTCAGATTGGGAGGCAGATGTAGTAGCTGACAGAAGGGCAGTTTGCGAACTGTTTTTTTTTCTTCCTTTTTCTTCTATCGCCCTGGTCGCCCCCCTTTTCTCCCCTTATTTCTTGGTTGTTGAGGTATAAGTCCTCTTGGGGTTCGAAAATTCTTTCCACCCGCCTCATCGAAGACGAAATCTGTTCCCGTCGACCTCATCAAAGCCACGCTAATCGTTGCGGCTTTATATCATATTCTCTTAGATCCTGCTAACTTTGACTTTCTTGTATAGATAGAACGTGCTTAGATGGATTCGCATGAGCGCCGAGAAAAAAAAAAAAAAACCCTTTATGAGTATGGAGAGGGTAAGGGTAGGAAGGTGTTGTCGCAGAACCGGTCGCGGCGGGGGCATTTGGCGTAGCGGTCGTATAAAAAGCAGTGTAATAACCGTAGAAGTAGCTTCGTTATTAATGTGTAGCTTAGCACTATTTCTTATTAATCTGGAAAATGAAAACAGCTAATATTCTTTTGATTGAAAGAATAAAAGAGAGTAACTGAGAGATGTTGTTCGTCTATTTACAGGTAGTGTGGTGTGAAAATGTAACGAGGCCCACGCAGGAGACTCAAGTATTTTGATTTCTCTAGCGGAAAGATTTCTCCTTTTCTTATGCCGTAGGATTAGTGCAACTTAACCGTATCATTGGGCATGCGAGTAGGTTTATAATAGCCATAGCTAGACGTGACCTTTCTAATTATTGCGCAGTATGCATATATCAACATTGAATGGTATTCAGATTGCGGTACCTGCTTAGTATGCTGTTTTAAGTAGGGAGTTACTCTATAGCATAAGAGGAATTTATAGCAGAAACACAAAAGCACAATGGTATATCTGACAATTCCTAACCAATATTTATTTTGGTATGATACTATTGCCAGTGGTAGGTACCTATGTATTATAACGTGATGTAGTGAAACCGCTCTTTCTTGCCTCGTATACCAATTAAGCTCCCGTAAGAAATAAGAACCCGAGATACCACAAGCTCGCTTATTCAAATGAACCTTCATGTATTATTTTGAAAGATACCTAGGTACATGTAGACGTGTAAACGTGTACCTGCCATGTATGTACATATGGTAACAGGTACTTACGTCGTTGCACGTTCAATATTGGCGTGCCTTCCAAGTGATCGAAAGGTTCAAGTTCTTGCCAATAGTAGAAATTGATAAGCAAACAGTAGTTAGAAGACGATAGCATACTTGCAATTACGAATTCCATGACGTCGTCTTTCAATAGGTTATCTTACTTTCATCTTGATCGTCATGATTCGCCTGATACCATTGATGCATCTCTACCCTTGGACAAGTTTACGACACACGCGAATACCTAAACTCCTACGTGAACCTTGATATTCTCTGGCGGAAGTGCCATACAGTCTACTGTGGTATTCAGAACTCTCTCCCTAATTTGTTCACTGCCATTTTCCCATCCAAGTCACAAGTTTGCAGCATATAAATATCAAAAAGACCATTCTAACAAAACGAGCTCTCACTACTAAAGTATCGCAATCCTCCTGTGATACTTCTCCTTCAGCAGGGCTGTATCATCTCTGCGAACCTCGACATTAACAAAAGGTCCCGTCTGATCATCCATGCGGTACGATGACAGGACTTACTGAGTCTCAGAAAAGGTGGTGTAATGGTAAGCAAGTGCGCCATCTATATACTCTGCCTTCAACTGAGCATACTCTGTAGGTGTGGCTGGCAGCAGAGACCGGTCTTCGGGATACGATGACATCCAACTCAATGGAGATCCTATCGAGCTTATGACAGACCTGAAAATCCGCCTACCACGTTCCAGTACTCGACTTCAGACTCGTGAGACGAATGGATATAATGACAAGTATGAAGATCGTCACGAAGTACAAAGCCGCGAGGATGACACGAGGCATCCTAGAAATCATAGTAGGCCTACTCCTCAAAGAGTTGATAAACACCAGCTTGGGTCTGCATCACTTGAGTTTGATAAGCGTACGGGATCATCTACAAGTATGACAAGTCGATCTTCAACGACTGATAGATCTGCCGCTCCGATGGTAGACTTCTCCAAGAGTAAACGACCACCGCATGAGTATATACATAAACGGGGAGGCGTTTCTGATCTATCCATGCTTTCACGTGCGACCAATCCTGCTCTTTAGGAACAATCAGGATTGGAAGAGCAGTCGGACCGTGCTGCCGTACTGAAAAAGGCAGTTTGGGAGAGAGATGGAAAACAAGGATCGCACAAAGACTGCAGAAACTTCGACTACGACATTAGCGAATAGGAAGATGCGACTAAATCAGCCGCGTATCGCAGACATAGCCCCTAAGTGGAAATCGATATTATCCCTGGTACACAGTAGGTAGTGAGTGTGGTGGAACCGAGAAGGTATTCATTCCTTGGAGTTCTCCTATAACTCATGGTAATTACAATTACATGATCGACAAATTCAAAGTTGCTCACGTGTTACAGTTTTTTATTATCCAAGTGAATTGGGTTGAAAATATCGCTTGGCCCTTTGCGTGGCCTTTGGTCCAACATTAAGTCCCATTCCAAGCGATATAGTGTAACGTGTTAGTAAATTAGTGTGCGGCGCCCATCACTGGTTGTCCAAAGTTCTTCATAAAACGCATACAGGTGTGTTGTCCCAGCCCACCGATGCAAGCCGGTATCTCCAATCGCAAAGTCTCCTCGTTTACTTCTTTCGCATCTTCCGACGATCTTGTACCCATCTAAATACTCCCTAAAAATAAAATCAGCATAAGATCCCTTAACCGTACCGACCATATCGCCCTCACGGGGCGTCACATCAGGCTGGCACATGATGCCGATGGAATCGTCTAGGCCGCGAAAGAGGAATTTTCGGGGAACTGTGGCTTGGAGAGCAGTGAGGATTTCTTCTAGCATAATATCCTGTTTCCCCCATGCCCGCTCAGAGTCCAAAGAGAAGCCCCCCTCCCAGAAGAAAAGGGGGGGGACGCCCTCAGCAGCGCCCAGATGCCACCCTGGCTCGTGGAGCTCTTGACGACTTAAGTCGAAAGCTAATAGTAATTGCCAGAGAGCCTTCCCAAAACTGCTGTAGCCCCAAACTGGCGGTTGGTTTCTAGCTAGAGATGCTTCGGCCTCTAGGAAAAAGTTTGACCAAGTGTTGATCAGATTCGCCGCTGAGTCGTGTTGCTCGAGTCGTGGTCCGACCTGACATACTTGCGTAAGGCTTACCATATCCACTTCGAGAGCCCCAATCTCCCTCAAAACCCGAACATGAGTTTTACTGTGAGGCTGTGGTGTCAGGACGATAGGGCACCAAGAATCGTGCCGCCAATCAGGCACCCAAGTCGGGAGTCCCTCAGTTTGCATCGAATTATACTGGAGGATGGTAAGAATGCGAGACTGCACTACGATAAAGGAAGCGCACTCGACTAGAACCTCAGCGGGACTCTTGCTGTAATCCGGTAGTAATTGGGCCGGCAATGGGTCCGCGTTTAATAACCCAAGGATAGCGTACACGATATCGCGCTGATCCGTCGCGTGAAACCTACCAGCCACCAGGGCAAGGATCCAGGCTAATCGCTGCGCCAGAGTTGAATCCTCACCGCCAGAGACGAGGGATTGGTGACCAAACCAGATGGTCCTCATGCGGTCTAGCGACGGACATATCGGCGGCAGCCCGATGCGCTGGTCGTCGGTGTTGTTCACCCAATACTCACCGACGGCCCGCAAATGCGGAAACGGCAGAACCAGGTCGCCGCATATTAGATTCGGAGACTTCGCCACGTCCTTCATGTACGGCTTTGGCCGCACGGATACCTCTTGCAGAACCCACATTCTGCTAAACCACGCGCGGGTTTGGATGAATTCGTGCAGTTGGCTTTGCATGCGCCACAGCTCGTCGTAGCCCGTGGACCGGATCAGCTCGAAGTCTTGTTCCTCGGTACTACAGGAGGCGAGTTTGGTGACGTAGTCGAATATCTGTTTCACGTGCAGGCGGGTGAAGGGGTGGTAGTCACCCAGCCAGATCAGCACGCTCCGGGCTAGTCTGTAGATATCCCTCATCTTCAGGATCTCGCGGCTGCGTTCTACGACCCCCCTCTGGTTAATACAGAGACTGTCGACCCATAGCCTCCGCGGCGAGTCTTCGCGGCGCAGGTATCGCAGCCCGGCGAGGAGGTTGAGAGTCACCGGGTACGGGGTGCCGTCGAGGAGAATTGGTTCCGTGATCGAGGCGTCTCCCCAGCAGTATGACACGGCCTCGTAGTCGGCTCCGGGATTGAGGGCGATGTGTTCGAGCTCGCACTCGACTTGGGCGCTGAATGTGTTTGGTAGGAGCTTGATGATGCGGATTTCTTTCCCGTTCTGGTTGAGTGGGCGGTGGGGGGATACCCCTTTGAAAGCCTCCATGATACCGGGCTTCGAGACTGTCTTGAGTAGATACGAAAAGGATAGAGAAATTCTCAAAACCAAAGATGAGGTGAGCGTTTCTTCATTGCGTAGGTAGTTAGCCGCATTGGCTGCCCCTCTCCTTGAAACATGGTGCAAGTTTGTGTTGTATCTATTGTAGCACCGTGGCACTGTCGCAGGCTGTATTAAGGTTTAATTTGAGATTCGAGATACACAAATGCCTCCCTTGTTGATGCTCTACGGCGGTTAGGGAGAACTTGTACGTCGAATCAATCTAGGTAAGTCCAGCTCCTACCGATAGTTACGCAAATCTGACAGGAGTTGATCTTATTTAGACGGCATGAATTCTAAGGCTCTCGCATCGACTAAATTGACTGTGAATGACTTGACAGGTCAATTCACTACCTGACAAAGGCTAAAGAGAAATTAATTGTGACTGATCTTTATTTGTTCTATACATATAGGATTAAGTAGTTCCGTGGGTGTTCAATACATAAGTCTAACATTACCACCATTTCATTACCATTATCCTTTTCC